GAACCACTTTGACCTTTATAAAAACCGTTATTTGTATAGTAGCCTCTTCTACTTTCTCCAATAAGTTTTCTATTTTTGTTGGTGTGAAATTCGGTACAAGTGATCGTCAGGGAGAGTTGTGTAAAAAACCTATTTTGTTTTTATTTTAAGTTGTATATCTGTTTTTAAATTATTTTATTAATGTTAACTAATTTTAAAAATTTTTATAATTTGCTTATTTGTTGATTTTGCTAGTATGTTTATATTTTCTAAACAAAACATGTCTGTTTTGTATATTTTGTTTACTAATAGTTGTTGTTTTGTATTATAAGTCTATTTATTATTATTTAATATCTAAATTAAATCTTTAAATTTTTTAAAATTCTATTTTGTTTTTTACTAATATAAAGAAAATTCTATTTTGTGCTAATTCTTTTAACTTGCTATTCTAACTAAGCAATTTTTTTTTTTTTTTAAAAGTTATTTCTTAATTACTTAACTGGTTATTTCTATTTTTTTATTTATATTTTTTTATGTTCTTTGTTTTTGTTCTTTTTAAAAATATAAATCAGCAAAAAAAATATCTTGTAATCTGCAATTACATATATTATATCTTAGCATAATACATATTACTAAAATTAACATAATTCTTTGAATATAATTAGAATTATTCTAAATATATATGAAATAAGTTTCAGATTATATTATAACAAATAATACTAAAAAAAATAAAAATAATACTTTATACTTGTAATAATATAAGATTTAAGATATCTATAAAAACAGTAACAACAAGAACCTAACTAAAAATATGTATTGCCAATATCTAAATTAGAAAATTAACAATTATATATAGTTATTTGGCAATCTGATCATAGTAAGATGATGAATAATAGAGGTGTAGTGACCTAGTAAAGTAGTCAGGTTATTAACCCTTCAAGTGGTAGGTTGGGTGTTTAAATCCTATTGATGATGAAAATTTGAATAATTACCTATGTAATATTCATATTATGGCAACTGTTACTAATGATTGGATTAGGATACCTGTAATGATGATTATATCAGCATGACTGGCAGGTCATGAGACATTTGTGCAATGTTAAAGTTATATAGAAGAATGCAAACTGACAAATCAGGCAATGCAAACACTAGATAAGTCCTTGTGGTTGTTTAAATTTATTGAAATTGGGTAACAAGAAGTTCATTTGGAAAAACCTGAGTAGAAAGATAGCTGGATCTTTGACAACCCTACTGTAAAGGCTAGACTGAGGAAATGGATACCAAGATCTAGTACCTGGTTATAATAACCAAACAGGCAAGAACCTCTAGATTAGGAGTCTCAGAAGTACCACCAACCAGGTCACTAGAATGAATCAGAGGAAAAGAATATCGAGTTGATCTGATATATTGATGAACTGATCATAGTTCTATATAAACTATTTGAATTAGAAGTTTGGTAAAAAGGTAGAAGAAAAAACAGGAATATATTAAAGTATTAGGATTATGCTGTAAAGTAGATGTTGGGATCTAAGTGAACTCTACAAGTGCATAGCAGTTTAATGGTTAGCCTTAATTACAAGTGTTGGTTCTACTATAATGATATCTAGGTTAACTGTAAAAATGAGTACAGAAGACTCTGAGAGATTTACCTTAAGGATAAATTAGTCCTAAGGTTGAAACAATGATCTGAATATGACTCAGTAAGTTAACACAGTAAGGATGTTAGGTACAGCAATTGGTAGGAAACCTTTAGGTAGACTCCTTAAATAGGTAATATAAAAAAGTTATATGTGTAACCAATTGTACTCTCTCTTGTAGTGATTCATTAAACTATAATACTAATAAGTAATTAATAAAAGTCAAAAAACCAAAGAGGTCACCTTAATACAAAAAAAAAAAAAAAACAGATAATAACAGAGTATTGTAGATGCTAGACCATTGTTAAAATATTTTAGAAGAATTAATAACAAACAAATTAAAAATAGAAGATTATATAAAGTTATTAATCAAAAATTATCAATTAAGAATAATATTATCCAAAGTGTCAAAAACCTTAACTGTGAGTGTTAACCTAACACCATAGTGTGCTTGATGTGCAGCAAGATGATGTAAACACTATTAGAAGTAATCACAAAAAGTTAACAATTCATGTTGGGTTTACATAACCTAAATTAGATAATAAAATAACTTTGTAAAATATGTAATGAAGTCTATCTTCATTTACTAAAATTGAATAAAACCAGCAATCACTACCAAGTTTAAAAAAATATAGTAAAGTTCTAAAACCCTAATAAAACTTTCTACATCCTTTATAGTTTTATTTTTTAAAAAGCACTTTAAACTGCACAAATAATGTAAAATTAAATTGATTTAAACAGCCAATCATACGAAAGTCTTCTATGGAGGGTGTACTGTGACTATTTTAGAAAGAAAATCTGAAGTTTCAACATATAGACCAATTTATAAAATTATTAAAAATGTGTTCATATTTGATAATAAATAATTAGCCTGTTTTGAATGATTTTAAAACCAAAATGGCCGATAGATGAGGTTCTAACGAATCAAAAATCGATCACAAGATCCCGAGATTGCTAGATTGTGTAACCCTTGCGCCAACTTGAGATAGTCATTTTAGTGTCAAAATCATCTAATTGATTAATTGTCAAAGATTGGACACATCTTTAATATCATTTCACAAATTGGCACTTATAATTTATAGTTATCTGCCTATCGCTATGATGCCTTTTTATATTAAGGTTTATTACACCACATTATTATAAGGGTGGGAAATTCCATCCGTTTATAACGAATATCCCTACAGCATATAGTATAGTAATAAAATTTTTAAAATGTTTTAGATAATCACTCCGTTATAATGAGGGGTCCGTTTTAACGAGATCCACTATACCGATTACTACCAAACATGGATCTACATGCCTAAAATGCTACTTTTAGAACAATTGGATAATGGATTTGTGAATTTGGATATTGGCATTTATGAAGTTTAACAATCCGACATCGTTTAAACATGGAATTGAATATTCAATCGAATAAAATGAAAGTGCATTATTAATTATTAAACTAATTTTGATAAATCTATAAGCAAATGTAATTTTCATTGAACCAATAGAGATAGTTATCATTAATTTAATATCTGATTATTTCAAGGTTATTGATTCATTTTAACGTCCAAAATAGCCAAGGTCTTGATCTTTATCCTCAATTAAATTATCACCATTAAGATCATTAAAACCCATTGGCATATTTAATATTTCTTCAGGGGTGATATTATTTTCCAGCGGCAGGAAACTAAATTCAGGTACTGTACTTACACAGGGAACAAAATTGTTCGTTGAGTTATATATATTCATGTCACTGAATGATATATCATTATTAAATGGAGTCGAGATGATACCCGCGTATGCCAATCTAGCATGATATATTTCAAGATTTTTGCGAAGACGTTTATTTTCTTTTTCGAGAAAAGCCGCTCTATCTTCAAGCTCTTTTACATGGGCTCGTTTTTTCTCTCTTAATAATCTCGCGTAATTGCGTCTACGTTCGCGTTCGTATTGAATGTATTCTTCTGACATTTCTTTAGATTTTGTCTCGATTTTTTGTAATATTTCTCGTGATTCATATTGGTTGGTTTGTGTGCCTATCGGCGATGTAGGTGTGGATTGTGACTGCATAGATATGGGTGATATTTGCAATGGTGTCAATTGTACTTGACTGGGAATGATAGGACTTGTTGCTGTGGATCTGCAGGGGTGTGAAACAAACGCACCTTTCGCAACTAACTGACAAGTTTGTTGTGTTGGACTTAATTTCTCGGCATTTGGACCGCTTACAATACTTATAACTGAACTATTAACAGTGGAATCTGTTAGAATTGATGAATAAAGAAATCATTAAATAAACTTAAACCATTAAATAAAATATATAATAAAACTATTTGATAACAAACCACAATCTGTCTCAGGGTTCTTTTCATCAGAATTTTTTTTATCGGATAAAATTGACGACATAATAAAATTTACGATAAACTAAGTAAAAAAATTAATTTTGTAAATGATTTTAAAATTAAAACACGATCCTTCGATTAAAATAAAATATTTTTAGAACACCAAAAAAAGTTCAGAAAAAGTGAGAAAAAGATTATTCTTCCATCATTTATATATACAATTATTATCATTATCCATGACGTAATATGACGTGTTTATTAATAATTAGTATTCTCATCAGAGCCAGTGGTCATTAATTGCAAACATAGCTAGCGAAAATAGCCAGTAAAATTAACATAATTAGCAAAATTAGCAAACTAAAATTTATTTTAAAAAAAACATTTACATCTTCGCTAAAGCTATGTTCGTTAAAAACCAATCTTGTAATATCTTTTCAGTAAGATCCCTCCACCATTATCTAAAATATGTTTATAATTGGAGAATGAACTCTACATCTTCACCCAAAATAGGAATCCAAATAAAATCTTTAATTACCGATATTAAGCACCTTTTTTGCATGTATGTAGGTCAAAATTGTCATAATGCAGACCAAATTTTGTATATTGTGGACCGGGGTGCTTATTGCTTAATTTCTGAACTATATACTATTAAAAGCTTTTTTTCTAAATTATTGAAGTCTTGAATATTATAGGTTGTAATGTTTAAGTTGAGATGGTATAGATAATAAAGAATGTAATGATGATATTGTACTAAATAGATTTGTTAAATTTGAAAAATTGTATTCTATTGTTGTATTTGATTTTAGTAGAATATTTAAGTAATACTAGATGCATTGCAATAATGAAATGAAGTGGTTAGATAAAGGTTTAGATTTAAATGAAAAGTAGAAATGAGTTTTACTATAATTATTTTTAATAGAGACAATTAGTATATAATTATAAGTGGTTTTTTTTTTGATGTTAAGTTGAGTACATGTAACCCAGGATTTTATTGATAGTATATATTGGTTAGTATTTGTTGATGTAACAGACACAGAGGCAATCATGAAAAGAGTGTACAGCTAGTCACTCATACAACTTTAGTCATTGTCAAATTTAAGTAGTCTGCTTAAAGGTTCTACACTAGTTGCTATATCTAGGACCTACATGTAGATCCTTTATTTAAACACTTTGATTCTATATTCATCATGCCCTATCAATAATTCTGGTAAATTAGTAAAGATATGTCATGATCACTAAGTCATGTTTAACTTTGTATTAAACCTACTGAAGCCTTTTGTATTCCATACTTACAGCTGACCCACTATTACTTTGGCTTAAACTATTACTTGCAGTCAGAATTAACCATTAAACAACTGTACTCTTGTAAGATTCATCCAAACTCTGGTACCCATCTTTCTAACATTTTCTTCATTATCTCTTACTAGCTGCAGTTAAAAACCAATAGAACTTTCCAGACTTTCAATTTAAATAGCTTGATGTAATATATCTTTAGTATTTTTTTTTGATAATAGCCTGGTTGGTTATGTGCCTTTCTATATATTTTATTATTTAGTTTATCTATCTATTCTTACTAAAAATATTTTATAAACTTCTATTGGTCTGACAGTACCATCAAAATTTGTGTTATCTTTTTAATTAAGATTTCTAAATAGGCTTTTGACTTTATAGTTCCTTCACTTTTTATATCTAATGGTCTTATTGTAAGTTTGCACCAAAGTATTATGCAACACTAATTATTAATATTCTTTTATGTAGGTGTAATGTTATACTTTGCATAAATGTCTTAAGCTTTCATTTAAAAGTAAAGTACATGTAGATTATTTGTCATATGATTTGTACAATAAATTAGATTTACATAGTAAGTAAAAATATAATACTAATAAAATTTTTTTAAAAATACACCAAAATTTTATTAAATTTTTAGGATATATAAATTAAAATGATTTATTTTTTATAATAAAAAGTTATAATTTATATTATTTTTAAAAAATTATACTTGTATATATCATAAAAGTCTCAATAGTAAATCCAAATTCTCAGTAATAATGTTCTGATTGGTTGATTATTATATGATTATTATATAATTTTTATAATAGATTTATAATATCAAATTTTTAAATAAACCTATTTCAATAAATTTTAATCTGAATTTAATAATTCTATTATTATTAGAATCATTAAAATCTGCTTTACAATTTTACTTTAAAGCTTAAAAACAATTAAGTTAGTAAAATATTTTTAAATACAATCTACTCTCGTTTATATTAAACCATTTGGATTGGTTTTAAATTATGTTGATAGTGATATTAATGAGAAATTATATTAAAGTTGATATATATGAGGGAATTTTGATATATAAAAATTTATAAAAATTTGATTTGTGGCTTA